ATTTATTCAGCTTTCCCAGGCACACTTTATTGATCTAGATGGCCCCATGTTTATGTAATAATGTGAACCTTAGATCTATGTTAAATACCATGACAAATATTAATCCTAACCCTCAAAGGGCCATGAAGGAATGTGAAAGTTGTATGTTACAGTTTACAATTGCATACTGAACTGAATGATATATGTCTATGCACATTTGCATATCTAATTTTATTGCCATTTCAAGGGATTTATAGATACTCCTTGCATCCTATGTAAGACCCCAGCTTCAAAATTTCTGATGTGACAGCTATTTTATGAATGTAGGGAGATTGTGGCCGCAGATATTTGACAGCTCTTTCCAGTCTATAATGAAAGACCTGAAATGACAGATAAGATCAAGGGGAAACAAAACTCCAGGGGACATACATAATTGAGAACTTGCATGTAGGGAATAAAGAGAAAACGGGCCTAATTGGATTAGAAGGAGGGATATGGAAATCATGTAAAGACATAAACTGGGACCGCATGGTAGAGGCCCATGAAAGTCAAGTCTGAGAATTGCCACTTGGTTTCTCTGAGTGTTGGTCTTTGTTTTGGGTCTAAGTAGGGGAGTAAAATGATAAAATAGGTTTTTATTCAGAAGTCATATGCTGGTGGTATGCAATGTAGAATCAAAGTGGTGGGCAATGTCAAAAAGAATTGAGTGAATTTACTTAAAATATTTGTGAAGTTATTTTGACATAAATTGGTGAGTACCTGAACTGAACCAAAAGGGTTACAAAAGGGTGAAATGAATACTATTAAGAAGGAAGGAAGCATTGCACATAGAGAAAAAAGCAAAAGCCGAGTTACGGGGCATCTTGTTCTCTGGTAACCTGGACAGCATGGTTGTAGGTAAGGAGATGAGGTCAGGGGCTCCTGACCTCTCAGCACCATAGCCTCCCTTGCCCCATCATCTTGCTGCTACTCCCTATCACCTATTTCTACCTTCCAATACTGTATTATCTTTAGGTTCTTTTATCCTGAAAGCAATTTTATTTATTTATTTATTTGTGTGTGTGTGTGTGTGTGTGTGTGTGTGTGTGTGTGTGTGTGTGAAACTGTTGAAAGCTCCTGTTCTCTAGGAAAATTTGTATATATACTCCAGGATGATTCATAGATATTCCTAGGAGCCTGACTGAAGCTCACTTATGTCCCCATTTTATGGTTGTGATAAAGTTGAATCTTACCATAAATTCTTTGAGTTTCTTGGGAAACTCACAGAAACGTTTGTTCAGAGTGGCAGTCCACATTCACTGATGATTAGCCCGGGACAGATGCTTCTGTGGTTCTCACTTCCAGTTTAGAGAGGAATTCTTAGAGGTTTTTGCATGACCTAGACAGCATTCAGAGTAAATTTTTCTGTGTGAAAGGTGTGCAAGATTTTGCTCCTGGAGTGCAAGGCCAATGTTGCTCTAACAGTCCTCTGCTGCCTATGCAAACTGGTGAGTTTATCTTCTAGCGGAAAGGGTGGTACCTCTAATATGAATGAATTTCAAACTTTGTCATTAGAGAAAGACTTTTCCAGTCTGGATGGAAATCATCTTGCATACTGTAGCACTGAGCTGCCCTGTCATCCCTTTGCATGTATGTGGATTTATACTAACTTTTCCTGGCCAGTAATGGCTTTTCTCTGTTCTCAATGCTGTTCTTCTTTGCCATCTTTGTACTGCTGCATCTTGGAAAGGAGCAGGCTGTGTTCTACCCCACTGCTTCTTTTCTCCTGGCCAACCTGAATACCAGCCTGGCTTTGTGAGGAAGCAACTATTAAGCAGACCCGGTGGGAAAAGTTGAGAAGTCAGGGGTTTCATTCTTTGTCTAATGAAGAGAGAGAGCTGTGCTTGTGGCCCTGTGTGGGGAGGGTGTTAGTGTGCTTGGTGGCACATTTATCAGAGAGAGTGAACCTGCTGTCTGCCTATGTACCCATGTCACAAAGACAGAGCTCCCAGATCTCTGCCCAGTAAACAGGGTAATGCAAGATGAGGGTGTGGGGGACTCCCTTAAGAAATGATGAATAGTCAACACTTGGTTTCAACAGAACCTGGCTCTCCATGGTTCCATTCCATATATGCAGCTCTTTGTAGGCAGGTCTGTCATGGATTCTCACAGTCCTAGAACAAAGATGTATACTCCTTTGCAAAGAGTGGCACATGTGTCACCACTCACTAGAATAGTTCCCTCAGACTGTCTTTCCAGAAGACATTCCTGATATGGCATCAGCCTTGTGTCAGGCAGAGGGAGCTCTGCTAGAGATATCTCTTCCAGAGTCCTTTCTGTGGCCACTGTGTTCATTGCTCACAGATCCCTCTTACTTAGTAGCCTGAGTTTCTTCCTTGTGCTTCCTGGATGGCACCATTTGAACTCAGTAGTTAACTGCCTACTGCAAACTGTACATTTTCCTTCTCTTTTGTAAGAGTTGAAATAATAATGGTTTCTCAGTTTTGTTTTTAAGCTTTGGTTTGGGGAGAGGGATGTGGTATTGCTATATTGCCCATTGCTGTTCTTGAACTCCTGAACTCAAGAAATCCTCTTCACTCAGCTTCCCGATGGCACATGACACTATGCTTGCCTTTTCATCTATATATGAATTGCAGTGTACCTTTCTTGTTACCTTGTCAATGTTCTAGAAATTGATCTAATTTAACAATCATATCTGAAGTGTGGAAAAAAATATCTTTGAAGATTTTCCAAAATTGATGCCTAAATGCAAGCTGATATGCTCATTAGGAATGGCAAAGAGCATAAATTAGGTGCTTTTTAAAAAAAATTAAAACTTAATTTTAAAGAATTCTGTTGTTTTAAATGTCACTTATATACACTTACATACTCTTGCCCATGTTTTTCAGTTTGGATTGTTATTTATTTTCCCTTTGGTAGTATGTTTAGTCTTAGTCAAGGTCCAGATTTCTGCTTGTGGCACAGAGCTGCTTCAGACCACAGAAAGAAAGCAGAATCGTAGTTTACCTCCTCACTGCTTTTGCCTCAAGGATCCTAACTTTCTATCTTACTGTTGAAGCCCTGTGCTTTTTTCCTCATAGTCTGAGATGCTTTCCAGCCCAGGAAAGGCCACAGGTTCAGTAGCACTCTTATATGAACCTCCCTGTTCAGAGAGTAAGGTCCTTTTATTTTGGTTGTCCTTGTTGGGAAAGGATAAGACTACAGGCATCTGTTGTCTCAAAAGACCTACAGAAAACTCAGTGGGCCTCACCTTGCAAGGGTGAGTGAGGTACACTAGTTGCAGGGATGGGGGGTAGGCAGTTTGAGCTTGCCTGGCTTTCTGAAGCCTGCTCCTTCAATTCAAGTTCATAGTTATAAAATAAGGAGAGCTTGTTGGTGGCAGAGAAGGTTGTGAAAATAAGACATGCAGCAGGGCTTTGGGAGGTGGAAGAGTTGGATCCTTCGCTTCTAGCCATTGCTTTCCATCTTAACCACCTTTGTCTGTTAGTTTGCAAATCCTAAGTGCCAGGGGCAGACCTTAATAGCCCTAGTTAGTGACCATCAGCAGGATCCTGAATGGTAACAGACTAATTATAAAGAGAAGTATTCTGACCCATTTACAATTTCTAAAACTGAAGCCCTTGATTCAAGTTCAGGAGGAACCATGGAATTCAAGGAACTCATAATGCTTTTTTTTTTGGTTAGCATTTCAGAAACAGTGAGTGAATGTATGATTTTTATTTTTTGTTCATTCTCTTCTTCCCTCATCATGGAGTAGAAACTAGATTGTAGAAAAAGCTTGTGTTTTTCATGTCAGTTGAGTGAGTTACAGATAATCTGGGATGGCTGAGGAGTTCACCACATGATAAAAGCCCAGGCGCATAAGAAATGTGGCCATTCGAGGTGGCACTGAGCAATACTACCCAATTTGGATTGGGTGGGTTTGGGTTAGAAAGTTATGATCATGAAAGTTACCCCTGCAGAGTGGTGTCCACTGCTCCTTCCCCTTCAGTGCAGACTTGAGTGAGGGGGAAGGTGTGGGTACATGATTGCTAGTGTGAGCAGTGACCCACACATGGACCCTCATTCTGCTCTGACAGCTTTCTCTACACTTCCTTTGGAACTCAGCAACCCTAAAAAAGACTAGTTTGAAGAGTGGAAACATCCTTGAGTCTCTTTCTTTGTTTCTAAACTCTCCCTTTTTGTTGCCTGCAGCTGACTGTACCCAAGAAGGCTTTGTCTATTAGTGCAGGAACCTAGTGACTTACCTTCAGCTCTAAGGTTCATTGTTGAATTGAAACAGCTTCATTGTTTTGCCAGTGATTACACCCAGTGATATGTAGGCTTTGTCCCTGAAGATACCACTGAAAGGGTTAGGGGTAAGAAGGAGAGAAGGAGAGATTAGAGCAACCAATCTGTGGTCAAATATGAGGCAGATCCCAGATTTCCCTGCTAAATCCCATTATTGCAACCCAAAGCCAATTGGGAAGGAGGCTTAATGTCAGATACATTATGTAGCATTTGCTAATTTTTATTTCAATTGTTAAGTGACTTTTCTGTACATTATTGCTTCTTTCAAGGCAATTTATCTTTTTACCTGGGAGGAACTTATTTCCATTAGAGTTGGAACACTAGCTACATATTTTGCATTTAAAATGTTTCATGTGATTAAATGGAGAAAGAAACATTATTACTTCTGTTTCTTAGGAGTGTGCTCTTCCAACAGATTCTTCTTTTGTGCCTGGAAACAATGAGTTTAATTTGGAAACAAGTAAAGGAACTCTGTGATTACCAGGCACACTGTTAGCCAAAACTGGCAGCCAAATACTGGTAACTGGACTCAGAAGACAGCATACATTCATTGTCCCCTCCAGCAACTGCTCCTAACAAACTAGCTACTCAGCAGTGTATGCTGCAAGTTGTGTTTTATGTGGTGACACCTCCCATTTCAACAACCCTTGCTTCTGTCTTCTTTTTCATGTTCTCCTACCCTTTCCATTGTGGTTTTTGTCTTAACCTGGCTTTCTCTTCTACATTTACAGAGCTATTAAGAATGGCAAAGGATTGCATAGCAAGAAGGAAGTGCCCATCCACCGTGTTGCAGACATTTCTGGGGTGAGTGTTGTCCTAGAATCAAACTGTGGGGCTCAGACGCTCCAAGAATGTATGTGCTTATTCACTGAAGAATTCAGCTTACTTGTTGTCAGTACCTTGTTCCTCTTCAGGCCCTGAGTGTGAATTTTCCCAGGGCATCCTTAGGGATTCTGTTTTAAATTATAGAAAAATAGAATTCAGAAACCTCATTCTAGTCCTTTACTTGAACTATCTCTCTTGCTTCTTCACTTATAACTGCTGTGAGTTTAGAAGATACTTCTTTCCAGTTGTGTTGAAATAAAACTAGCTTTTTTTTATTTTAATCCCTGTATAATTCTCACTATGAATGGGAAGTCTTTATGGTAACAGGTCAAGTGTAGGTTTTAGGACAAGTCTAAAAATTATGATCTCTGAATGAGTTCTTTTTCTCAGCTTGCTTGTAAGTAGGGGAGAATAGAAAAGTATGTGAGATAATAGGTAGAGATACAGTAATAAATCATATAGAAGAATTGACACCAATACTTCCAAGTAATTTGCAGTAAGGACTTTACCCTTGTATATTTAAGATCTCTTTTGGCTGAATAGATTGCTATTAGTTGAGTGGATTTATTCCACAAATATTTATTGAGTGCCTACTGTGTGCCTGGAGCTGCTTGTAGGCACTGAGAATATAACCATGACCAAAAATAATAAAGTCCCTAAATTCAAGTGAGCAAAGAATACAAATATAGTATCAAGTGGTGACAGCTTCTATGAAGAGAAATAATACTAGCTAAGAGGACAGTGAATGGTTCCAGTATTGATTTTGATCTTGTGGCTAGGAAAGATACCTGGGATATACAGTGTCCATTTCAACTCCCACAATCACTGATGATTAAGGAAAGGCTCAAGTCTGTGCAATGTGTGGGGAAGGTAACATTACCTGAGGTGCTGAAGGAGGAAGAGCTAGGAAATCTTAGCTTGAACACCAAAATGAAAATAGTAGTATAAGCAAATGGTTCTAGAGCTCAGCCTGGCCCAGAGCAGTGATGAGTTAGGGAGTAATGTCTTCCCATTATATCATGTTCCCAGGCTTGGCTGAGTGTTTGTTTCTTGGTGCTGGTGATTGCTTATTGTAAGTGTTCTAGCTGGCTCCTCCTTGGCATGAGTGTCCTGATACTCTGTTCATTTTAAGCCATGGGACTCTGGTGAACTTTTCTTTCTCTATAGCCAGTCAGCATAGATGATTTTTAAACAGGACTGTCTATGTCAGATGAATTGGACTTCAGTTAAGAAGTCAGGACCTCTATTAAGTGTATGAGATCCAGTAATACACATTCTTTGTAACTTAGAATTCTGAGAAGCCCAGAAACCTTCTGCTAATGGTCTTTGAGCCACAAGTGTATCTACTAAGGCTCCGTCTTAACAGTTGTGACATGCTCAGTGCAGTGCTGTTTCACTTATTTTCTCTGTGGCTTACCCTGCTGAGTTATGCTTACATATATGTTATTAATTTCCATAGGTATGTGCTGTGGTACTCTCAACACTATTTTCCTTGATATTGTTATTTTGCTACAGATATCAGAGTAATCATAAGGCAGTTGTGGGCTATTCAACTGCAGGAAAAAAATGTTGCAGATACCTGTTTTAACATAATGGAGGCTCTGCTCTATGAGAATCATCTCCCCATCAAAAAAATTATATAGAACCTAATGAGTTAAACCTTTGGGTACCGTGCTAATTCAAAATTTAAAAATTAAAAACAAATTAATACAATGATAACAATATGAGGAAGCCTATTCCCCCCAAAAAATGGAGATAGGTTGCTCTCTCTTGGTCCATCAAGTTCATGTTCTTGCTCGTTTCCCACTGGCAATGAGATGAAGTCCTAGGGAGGTTTGTAAGATAGAGACTGGTCTGCCTTAGCTGTCTTCTTAGGACGTCTGAGATCTTTATTGCTGTCTTTGAATCCAATGCTGCCGCCTTCCCTGATGCTTTCTGGTGCTTTCTGAACCCCTTCATTTTTGTTTTGATAACAATGAGTCTTGTGAAACTTACCTTCTTTTTTTTTTTCATTATTATTATTCCTACCTCACTAACTCTCCCTTAAACTGTAGCTCAGTTTCATACCTATTTTTATTCTCTTTTCTGTCTGGATATTAGAAGATTGGTTTGCTCTTAAGTTATTTAAAAAATAAATGCCAGTTAAGTTTCACTCAGTTACCACATAAATAAAAGAGGAAAGCTTGAGCAAGTGGAAGACTGAAAGTGAAGAAGCTATTCAATTTAAATAGATGTCAGATATGACCTTGTCTGCCTGAATCACAAATTACTCAGCTAAGATTGCAATTTTTTGTGCCCTCTGTAATAGAGGAGGTTTATCTTTTTCCCTTTTCTCACCTTCCCATCTCTTTCACAGTGTTGAGTATGAGTATGTGTTGGGTGCCCTTGTGCTGTTTAAGTGAGATGTGTGGGTTTTCTACTTCCTGGAGCATGCTGGCCATTTTGCTATCTGAGGGACAGGTAGGCATGTATGGTCAAATGGGCAAATGGCATATAGCCTGAAAGAGAATAATCACCTAGAATAATGGCAGTGTAATGTACACTTACCTAATGGCTTCATTAAAGTTTCTTAACCTTTTAAGTCTTTAGCTGTGTTCCCCCCACTGCCCCAGATTGATTCCCCCCTCTTTGTTACAGGTCATAAATGGAAGGTTTTGTTGAGCTGACAGTATATATACTATACTGCCAAAATGAATTTACTATAAACTGTTATTGGTGTATAATACCTCTCCCCATCCTTCTCCCCACACCATGCATATCCTTGGGGAAGAAAAGAGATGCATAAATGCATACTTTGTCTCCAAAGAAATGTGTTATTTGGCAGAGATTATATGATGATTGTGAGGCAGAGAACCTGTATGTTTTGTCCTAGTTATCACTGCCACTCTTTCCATAGTTGATTGTGTCCATTCTTCGTATCCCTCCACTTGCATTTTCAAAAGTGATTTCTCAGAGTGAGGGTCAAGGTTGTATTAGAATATTTTTGCTCTTTGCTAGAGGAAGACCTGCTTGACTGACTGCATATAGTGGGAAGTGAGTAATCCAGGCACAGGAATGGGAGATTGATGGATTCCTTAGAAAGTAAGACCCTGACCCCAGAGGTGGTTCAACAAGCAGGTCTCTGTTTATTAATACAGATAGTGTTAGATGTTAAGTTGAATTTTCTGTATGACAAACAGAGTACCTGTTCATAACACCAACTGGAGAACCCCATTTATCTAGGGCTTTGATAACAGTTTGGCTCATTCGTATCTTTTGCACTTACTTCCAGGGTAAACACTAAGGAAGAAAAGTACTTATTGCCAGGACAGTAGCATTAGGCCTGCAAGAGTGACCGATTCCCTTATTTTCTCATTTTTCCAGGTGTAGAAAGTAGGATAGTACAAGTACCAGCTGTTACTGTCACTTCTATAATAATCTGGCTTCCTTTCAGACCAGGATGTTCCTATGTATGTGAATCCAGCTATGAGTTTGACTGAGTTGGCTCTGGATCTGATTGATTTGGAAGACTGTTCTGTGGTGACTGCTTCACTGCACACATCCATGTTTCCGTTATTAGTGGGCTTTGTTTTCCCCTGATCTTGTCTCACCTCCTCCCTTGCCAACATAGAAAGAGTTGGACTTTGCATGTCAGTAGCATATAAGGCCATTCTTTGTCTTAGGTTTATTGTTTTTGCTATAGCCTGCTCTGTAATAAATACAATCTCCTGCAGATACAGAGTGTAAAACAGACAATAAAATGGGGATAGTGCATAGCTAACTGTTGTTCTGGTAGATCAGACAAATCAATTATGCTTCCCAGATGAGAGAGGACTCTCCATTCCTCCAGGGCAGTCAGCTCTACAAGTACACATTGCTTCCTTTACCCCCCATTTCTCTTTAGTCTGGGTGTAAGGAGTCATGAGTCGTAGTGAGTTTTCCTCTTTGTTTTTGTTGTCTCTATACTTTCTACTGTGATACATGAGGAGTTATGTTTGTTTGTTTATTGATGACATGACAAGAGAAAAGACATACCATCCTTTATACTCCTATTTCCATAAGCCATAGGGTAAGGTAGAACACCAAAATGGGATTTATTTCTCTCTGAATATCTTCTGTCTTCTCGTGTTATGTGGTTCTGACAACTCATGTGTTAATTTCACTTATTTTTACATGGAACTGTCATTGTGCTTATTTTGACATTTATCACTTTGTGAATTGGTTTCTTACCCGTGTTACATACTAATGTTGTAGGGATTTTTTTGTTTTTTATTTTACCTCCTCTCTCCATGACTGATTTTGTTGGAGAGATATAATATTACTGATCTAGAATGAGCCAAGGGCAAGCTCTGGGGGGTAAAAGGGTAGGGGTATCAAACTTCAGATTCCTGTTACCATGCAGTGAATTGTGAAATGAAAATTTACACAGTGGACCAGTGAATTTTTAACTTGCAAGTATAAGGATGTCCTACAAAATAGGTAGGAAGGTATGTAGGTAGATGGGAAGATGGAGTAGGTTTTTTTTTCTAACATCTCTTGCTAACCTCTTCTTCCATGTCTGGTTTCTTACACCTGAACAGCACTGCCCTTCCTCCCAGGTGGTAGATATCTTAAGCCATCCTCCATTCTCTAATGGGTTTGGGAACCTTTATGGGAGTTACTTGTCCTCAGCAGCTTATGGAGTTGAGCTTTGGTAGAAGAGTAAGGGAAAAAAAAAAGCACATATTCTTTTTAATTGTCTAAAACAATTAAATGAGAAAAAGTGGTTTGTTTAGTAAGTTCAAGGAAGGTAAAAGCAAAATTTTCAGTGGTTCTGCAAGTTAAGTCTGTTAGTTGCAGCTTCCCTTACATGTCTTCTGGCCCACTTTAGCCTTTCTTCTTATATCATGCTAAAGTTCCTTTCAGCTATCTCTCTTGTTCTTCCTTATCACTGATTTTTGATGGTACAAATGGTCCTTCTTTGACTTTTTATTTTATAATGTCCCTTCCCTCTCTCATTC